TCTCTTTAAAACAAGGTGTCTATCCTGAGAATCTTAAAATTGCAAGGCTTATACCTATTTTTAAATCAGGAGATATTTCTAATTCTCAAAATTACAGACCAATTTCAATTCTCCCTTGCTTCTCAAAAATCTTAGAGCGAATTATGTATAATCGGATTTTGAATTTTTTAAATACAAATAATATTTTATATAATAAACAATTTGGATTTCAGCCAGGTAATTCAACTGACCATGCCATTATTAATAATGTTCATGATATATTTAAAGCATTTGACAAGAAAAAGTTTACTCTTGGAGTTTTTATAGATCTTAGCAAAGCTTTTGATACAGTAGATCATAATTTTCTTATAAAAAAACTCGAAAGTTATGGTATTAAAAGCACATATTTAGATTGGTTCATAAGTTATCTAAACAATAGAAAACAATACATATCATACGAAGAAGGAAAATCTTCCTATATGACAATAAATTGCGGTGTTCCCCAAAGTTCAATTCTGGGTCCTCTTTTATTTCTTATTTATGTAAACGATTTTCATTAGTTTTCAAACATTTTAAACTCTGTTTTATTTGCAGATGACACGAATTTATTTTACTCTAATGGAGATATTAAACTTTTATTTAAAATAGTAAACAAAGAACTTTTAAATCTAGCGGAATGGTTCAAGGCGAACAAATTGTCCTTAATTTTAAATAAAACTAAGTATACTTTTTTTTATAGAGTTCACGATAAAGAAAACATTCCACTAAAAGTTCCTAATCTTTATATTGGCAACTCTAAAATAATTAGAGAGTCATCAATAAAATTTTTAGGAGTGATACTTGATGAAAACTTAACATGGAGAGAACATATAAGTACAATAGAAAATTAAGTTTCAAAAAATATTGGTATACTATTCAAAGCCAAGCAGTTTTTAAACCAAAACTGCCTGAAAATTTTATACTTTTCCTTCATACATTGTTATATAAACTATGCAAACATTGCCTGGTGCAGCTTTAATATAAGTAAAATTAAGAAACTGCTTAGTAAACAAAAACATGCTGTCAGAATTATTTCAAATGCAGTTCGATTCACACATACTAAAGAACTATTTAATAATCTTCACATGCTCAATGTTTTTCAGTTAAACCTTTTTCAAATTCTTATTTTTATGTACAAACTTCATAATAAAATATCACCTATAATATTTTGTACACTTTTCAATAAAATTAATCACATGTACCCTACAAGATTTTCTAAGTACAATTATGAGCAACCTAAAATGCATTATTTGGCTACCAAATTTTCTATTGCTATAAGAGGTCCTAAATTATGGAACGCTTTATTAAGTGACGACCTGAAAAATTGTTCTTCTCTTTACCTATTCAAAAAAAAAGTGAAACAAAAACTTATTAACGATGTTAATGAATTAAATTCTTTTTAAAAATTTTTTATTTTTATTTTTTCTTTATTTTTAACAGTTATCTTATTAACTCTATAAACTATCCTATTAGCTTATCTATAGTTTTGATTTTTTTTTTTTTTTTAAATTTCTTTTTACTATTTTCTTTTGATTATAGATTAGTAACTAGTCTTAACATACTTGTAAATAATTGTATATAATTTTTTAAATGGCACAAAGTAATTGTATATTTAACTTTTAATGGTTGTACATGCTTGCTTATGAAAGCACGTCGGGGTGTAGTGATAAGGCAAGTATTGTCTTCTTCTAACCCCGGTCATGTAGATCTTATTTATACTACACGGTATTGTATTCTTTTTTTTTACTGACGAAATAAATAAAAAAATAAAAATAAAAAAAAAAGATAATTGCTTCGTACTCATTTGGTAATATGCCTTTGATTCGTGGCTATTTGGAAGCTCCTTAGACTTGTTGTAGATTAAAAATGATGTTTTAACAAAAACACCCAATATCTCTTTTTCAGATACTCTCAAGAATAATACACAGGCAATGCACCATCCACCTTTGTAACTATTTTGATTACTGTATCTTAGCCATTTGAAATTATCAAACCATTTTAATTAAAAATAAATCCTTTTTGTCTTATCTAGAGCAATTGTGGAACTCTCCTTTTCAAATATGAAATTAGCAGATGGCTTCCAACAATTGTCCAAGAAGTTAACTTTTTCTGAATCATTCATTTTTCTAAAAACTTTTTCATCAAGAATTGAAGCAATGTCAGTGCAACTAACTGTATTAAATGGCTGTTGCACACACAGTAGTTCAATTGAATAGATAATGACAATTATAACATTATCCAATGCAGATGATAAACTTTCTTTAACAATTACTTTGATTGTTGGGGTATACTGACACGCACAAAGTTGGCAGTATCATTGACTTGAAGGGCTGCAGAATTAACATTTGAAGAAGAAATGCGTGTAAAATCAAGACACTGCTGTTGAATACGTTTGTTAGGTGGACCACTGGACATGCTAAAAAAATTATATTTACAAATATATATATATATATATATATATATATATATATATATATATATA